CTTACAAATGTAGAATTATGTACAAAAAATAACTGCATTCAAAAATAAAACAATGTAAAACTTTAGAGCCTACAAGTCCACTCAGTCCTATTTTTTGTTCAGCCAATCACTCAAACAAATTTGTTTAGATTTGCAGAAAATAATACTGCCTGCTGCTTGTTTACAATGTCACCTAAACACGAAAACAGACGTTTGCATGGTACTATTGTAGCTGGCGTCTCAAAATATTTACATGCCAGATGTGGTAAAGATTCAGATCTCTCTTGATGCTTCACCCACCATTCCAGCAGACATGCATCCATGCTCATGACAGGTTCTCCTCAATAATGATCCAAAGTAGTGCAGACTGATGCATGTTCATTTTCATCACCTGAGTCAGATGCCACCAGCAGAAGGGTGATTTTCTTTTTTGGAGGTTCTGTAGTTTCCGCATCAGAGTGTTGCTCCACACCTCGTCCCTCTCAAATTTTGGAAGGTACTTCAGATTCTTAAACCTTGGATTGAGTGCTGTAGCTATCTTTAGAAATTTCACATTGATATCTTTTTTGCATTTTGTCAAAGTTGTAATGAAGGTGTTAAAACGAACAACATGTTCTGGGTCATCATCTGAGACTGCTATAACATGAAAAATATGGCAGAATGTGGGTAAAACAGAGCAGGAGACATACAATTCTCCCCCCAAGGAGTTCAGTCACAAATTTAATTAACGCTATTTTTTTTTAATGAAACAAGCGTCATCAGTATGGATGCATGTCCTCTGGAACTATGGCAGAAGCATGAAGAGGCATATGAATCTTTAGCGCATGTGGCATGTAAATATCTTGTGACGCCAGCTACAACGGTGCCATGCAAACAAACACCTGTTCTCACCTTCAGGTGACATTGTAAATGAGAAGGGACCAGCATTATCGCCTGTAAATGTAAACAAACTTGTTTCTCTTAGAGATTGGCTGAACAAGAAGTAGGACTGAGTGGACTTCTAGGCATTAAAGTTTTGCACTGTTTTGTTTTTGAGTGCAGTTATGTAACAAAAAAAATATAAGTTGCACTTTCATGATAAAGAGATTGCACTACAGTACTTGTATGAGGTGAATTGAAAAATATTGTTTCTTTTGTTTATCATTTTTACAGTGCAAATATTTGTAATAAAAATAATAATATAAAACGAGCACT